GAATGTTTATATTTGATGACTGATGCTGATTTAGAAAGTAATGGTATGTGGTTTTAATTTATTAATTTGCATGTTGTCTTTTTTTATTGTCTGAATGTATAATTTCTGTTGTCACTGTGGAATTATAAACTAATGGAATTAATGATTAACCCTTTTTCTGATTTGTGCTGTTGGGCTTGTGGCATTATATCTGTTTGTATATGTATGTTGTTTCATAGAATATACAGCACATACCTTATTTTCCTATGCTACACACAAATGAATTTATTATGGCTATGAATATAACACATCCCAATAAATTTTCAAAGTTTTCTGGCAGTAATATGTTGTGTATAGCACATGCAAACTAGTGTGACTACTGCATATCTTGAGTAGGACAACAATCTTTTACACAGGTTTAGGTATAAATTCTTGGGCTTCAACATTCACTACTTTAATTTTGTAGCTGTATATTGCTGTTTAGCCATGATAAATTTATAAAAAAACAAAAAAAACAGGATCAATTATGCTTTTACTTGTACAAGAGATTTCCCTCCCTATCACTATCATCTCAAAAACTAATAGCAGTGTATGCATCAGAAACACAAAGATTTATTCCAAATAAGTCTTGACTACTGGATGCCTGTAAAAGTCTGCACAGGAAATAAACACTGCTGCCTCAGTAAAGGGGGAAATTAAAGATAACTTCCATGTTCTTTCTCATGTGTAAGAAAGTAAGATTCTAAAAAATAGAGCTTGACCAATATATCATAAACAACAATGTTGGCTGTTATTTGAGTTTCTGCAAGTTTAATTTTCAAAAGTCAACAGAAATAATTATCTTGCTTGTGAGTACTGCAGAACTTTGAAGCCACAGTTGAAACTAAAACATGGCTGCTTTCCCAGGCCAGAATATGTTGCTACATGTGTGGTAATAAATGAGTTGAACTGGAGGCTGGCTAGATATTTACCCTGCAGAGCACCAAACTTAAACAAATAAATTCGGCAGGATTGAGAAAAAAAGTTCAAGGTAAGAATTTAGAAGTATTTTATTTTAAAGCTAAGGAAAGCATAAACCCTTCGAAAGTTTTTCTGAGCTTAAATTTCGGTTGATAGTTTGAATTTTTGTGAATTACTTTCCCAAAAATACTATTACTGCATCATTTTTCATTTTGTCCAAAACTTGGTAATTTCATGAATAATTATTAAAAGCTACAAAAATCTTTCCATGGAAGTTTTATATCTATTTTTTTTTTTAGATTAATGCAGTGTGAAAAGACAAACCATTCAAGAATATTTAATGTGGTCTGTTGTACTAGCATTTTTACCAATATTAGACCCTTGAAAGTACAAAGGATTTAAGGTCATACTCCATTGTAATTCTGATTTGGTCAGAAAAATAAGAGCTGACCAATAAGAAACCAGAAAGCTTTGTTTTCATTAAATCATTTTGAGTTTATCAAAACATTTACAAAGAGGAATATATTGTTTAAGTCTTTATATTTGTTGATTTTTACACATCATTTTAATCTTATGATTTCTGTAGAGCCATTAATACAGTATCTTGTAAGAAGATACTGCTTAATAGGTTTATTAATATTTTTAGTGTTATTAATATTAGAAATAATTTATCAGCTGTTGATTATTACATATTTTTATATTAATGTCCTTATTGATAATGGCAAAAAACAATGAATCAACTTATAGTCAAGTAATAAAAAGTTATTTATTAGCTCTGACCCAAAAATGTTTGTTGCTTATGTCCTTTTAGAAATTTGACCCACTAAGGGTTATTTTTTTATGTAGTTTTTGATTGTCAGAAACTGGATTAAGTCATAGTTAGAAGAGACCACTGTATTATTATTATTTACATATATTCAAATTGTTGGTTTTGTTATTGCGTATAAGAATTTACTGTTTACGTAAATTTTTCCCTGGCTGAATGACACTTAAAGTAGTTGTACATTTGGATACAGTGTATAGAAAATAGAAATTTCACTCACTTATTAAATGTTCTTAAAAATTTAAACTCTTGTTTATTAGTTTGTGCTGAATTATTTTGTATGTGGACAATATTTTGTAATGCCAAACTAATAAGAAATGTTCACACAACGTTATAGATACAATTGAAGAGCAGAATGGAGAGAATGAGGAGCCAGAGGATAGCAAAATATTAGAAATTCGTTTTATACCTGAAAACACTGAAACATGTAAGTGAAATATGAAAATAAAATGTTGTAAGTGATATCTTGTTTTATCTAGCATGTGTAGGACTAAATGAAAAATATTGTCACAAACATTACTGTGCATTGATTTTGTTTAACTGTGAAGCTTTATTGTACCAATAATATGCTTTCACTGATGTCTTTAATGGAATAAGAACTTTTATTGCTATTTTTTATATAATACATGTTTTAGATTGGGTGTTCCAAATACTTATCTATGAAAGTCAGTAAATTTTTGGAAAAGTAACTTATTGAATGTTTTACACTACTTGCCTTGAACATGCTGCTTCTATAGCAATGCATGTTGTTGTTTTAGTGGATTCAATGTTTAAAGCAATGATGGACTGTCAAGCTTTATATCCAGATCCTGATGATTCATCATCCGAAGGTAACTAGAGCTAAAATGTTTACTAAAATAATTAAAAGTGAAAATAACCAAAGGTAATGCTACTTTTTAGTTTATTTAGCAGATACTATGTCTATTCATTACTCTCAGCAGTTATCTATACAGTGTTCCAGATAAGCTTTTTGACATAAAGAATATTTTACTACTCAAAGTATACTCAATAACCCAGTGCTGAAAACTGGCATATGTTTTAAGTTTCGATGACTTTTTCATCATCCAAACTTGACATTTTGCTCTGTTTACTACATGATTCCTCCACTTATTTCTATTTTAACATCCTATTAATAACCTCCCGTGACAATTACAGCATAATTTTAGTACAGTAAATGATTTGTTGATGTTGATCAATAAAATAATACTGGTATAATTTTCAGTTCAATAATAATCCCAGATCTATTGGTAATTTTCAGATGGTAATGTCTGTATAACTCGTTTGTGAATTTTTATTTTCAGTGAAGAAAAGAAAAAAATCAGTGAATGACATTGAAGCCTAATCTGTTATGTGAATCACTACTACCTCTGCAGTAAATTGTAGTTTCATAAAGTAATGGAATGCAGACAGTTTGTAGGATTTGATGAAAATGATTTTACATCAAATCCTACAGACCACTGTATAACTTATCAATTAGTTTATGGTAAGAATGATCTTTCATGTTTGTTTTATTACCAATACAGGGTTTTTTGTTTCATTTGATCTGGTGAATACTGACATTAGAGTGGTCATTATTTGCAGATAAAATTATATTTTTAAAGAAATTGTAAAGTTTTCACCCCAAATTTTGTTTCATCGTACATAAAAACATTAAATGTTAAAGTTCATCCATGTTGGATCATATTTAGAAATTGCTTGATGAGGTTGAAGTTTTAGACAGCATTGGCTTGGTACTTTATGTACTATGTGATATATAACATATTTGTTATGTATTATAAATGATTTATTTAAAGTATATTATTATTTTATTGCAGTTACAATAGTATAATTACATAATTATATAATTTTGGTGTGGTTAATCACTTTTGCATTATTATTGTTTCCTTTTTGCTCTTAAGAAAGTGTCGTTTATGATCCTGTACAAGTTGAAGGAGGAATTGTCTCTGTTCTTCTTGCATTGTTATGATGGCATTATACCCCTCAATGAGGGCCACACTCCTTTCAGCATTGTCACTTACCACATTCAAGTGTTGAACTGTCTGAAGTGCCTCTCTGATATCCCATGATTCGGGGTCATAATCCAGAAATCCAGATGGAATTTTGAGGCACCTGAAGAAACCTATTATGTTATTTCTGATGAAGTATTCAGTTGAAATGTTTTCAGACTTCCTGATATTCAGTTGTATGCAGTTTGAAGTTTCATCCATGCATTCCTTCTCATTTGTTGCCCTTACCATTGCTTGTTTTGTCTCTGTAGATACAGTTGAATGAAAGATTGCCAAACCGATGGTTGTTTCTCATTGAGATAACACAGATATCCAGCAACTTTTTGACTGGCAGGTTTTGAAAGACCAGAATTCATCTTCTTAACAAGACAGTGTAGGAAGTTAAGATCATTGCAAGATGCAGAAATGGAATTAGGAGCAGTGAATATGTTCTAAGATAGACTCGAGCAATAAAGATGCAGATGTCACAAAGTCCTTTTTCCTCACGGTTAGTGAGCTTACTGTTCTATAAACATCCAGATTTTGAGGGCATGAAATTCTATGGTCATCCATCATGCATGATGTCAATAGTCGTCTCTTAAGCTGGCTGACCTGAAGTTGTCTTATAGCAAACTCAACGACACTGTTCTGAGCTTCTTCTTTAGCGTCTGCTACTTCATAACTAGATAATTTTTGAAAACGTGTCAGGACAAGCTCTAAAGTATGATGCTGGCATGCCCAGTACAGAACATTATTGTTTAATCTTTGTTCTATCAGCATACGTGCTCCATTTCGGTGACTATTTTTGCTTACTGCTGTGTCAAAGCATACTATTTTAATACAATCAATGACTCTCCACTCTTCCAGCAAATTGCCACAGCAGAAGTCTGAGCCTCTCCAGTGTTAGAAATAAACCTGTGAGATTGTAAGGAACTTGCTGTCTCAGTGAACCACAAGTGAAACTGTTGGCTGGAACTGTTCCTTTAAGTTTTTGATAAGTTCTTCACGGAAGCAATGATGAGATCTTCGGATAGGGGAATGGTTGATGGTTAGCTCCTGCACAACATGACCAAGGCTGTGAGCTGTGGAAGTGAGGACAAATGTTGCCTTTCTGTCACTCAACTTGGTTCTGTTCATAGTTGCTGCTAAATTGGGAGTGATAATATTTATTCTTTTTTGGGTTTAGAAGATGATAATTCTCCAATTACTCTTATCTTTATCACTGTTATTGGTACTATATCCACCAGCTTCATCATCATTGTTATGGGATATAATTCCCAACAACTGACAGTTTCATTCAAGGTCTGCTGTTCCTGCTCTGCACAACATTTTCAGTCCATTCTTCTCTCACTTCTTTTCTTAACCCTTGATTCCTTTAAACAAAAACTCTTATCTACCTGGCCAATGCACCAATGAAATTCTTTTTATTCCTGAGCAAGAAATTCCTTGTCTTCTAGGATTTTGATCAGGGTTAGGGTATTCCTACGAGTGATGTCAATAAGGTTATTCAGATTATTGATGAACTATGCTTCATTAGCTTGCTGTATGTTTGTTTTCCTTTTTGAATTTTTCTTTAGCTCTGCCAGTTTTTCAAAAAAACACAGTTTGATAATGGTGTGATGTTGAAGACAAATTAGAATTTGAGCCTTTTTCCAAAAAAACTGCTTTCTTCTTGATCACAACCTTTGAGCTTTCATGAATTGTCTTCTTTAATGTTCAAGAATATTCAAAATATGAAGATATAATGCAAACTGCAAGGTAAAGTTTCAACTGACTTTGCAACCCCTAAATCTTATTCAATATGGATAAAATTTGGTGCGAATTATATACTGAAACAAAATAAGGGGGTGAGAGTGCTTTAAGTCAAAACTTCAAAAATATGGACCATCTTAACAATGGTATACCTACTGATGAATAATGTGTATTTGATATGGACAATTTTTATTTCTAATGCATTGTTATGTACAAAAAATGTTTATTTTTGTATATACATATTTTATTTGGAGCACTGTTTCCTTATCAATTAGCTATTATTTGCAACTTTAACCCTCTCTACACGGGCTCAGTCAAATTGACCAACCACCTGACCATTTTGTACTCATTTAAAGTTATCGTTTTGATACTATTAACTTTTAATATAGTCCGTGCATCTTCACAGAATTTTTTACTTTCAGTAAACATTACAAATCTTTTACACACAAAAAATCAGATTTTTAGTGAAGTATTTTTAATAAACAAAAAAAAGATTTGTCCAGGAGTATGTTGAGTCTTTTTTTTTTTTTAACTAGTCCGAATGCAGAGTTATCTTTGTATTAAGATTAAAAATACTTATCATGTCAAAAATCTCAAATTTCATGTGCATAATCTCTAAAACCTCCTAAGTACATTTCATTTTTTTTCAGTAAAACTTTATAGTGTATCTGTTACTTTATCTACCCTAGCTATACAAGGCTGGTCAACCACACGAAAAAAAATCTAAATTACCATTTTTTTTCTTTCTATAATCATTTCAAATTGTAACGTGAAACTACAGTTGTTTATCCTAAGTAGCTTTAAACTCGTAACAGTATACATATATTTATACTTAAATTTTATTGCTCTCTGAACTGCATCTAATTATTATTCATGCCATTACAAGTTACATGTCACTTGCGGAATGTGGAGCTCACACTATGCTATTCAATTACATTACCCATGAGCTACTTGGAGCTGCTTGCGTGCATGCCTCATAAAAAATTTGTTATTATATTATTATTATATTATATATTATAAGTTGTAAATCACTTGGTGAACGTGCAGCTCTTGTTGGATTATCAAATTACATTATGCGTGAGCTACTTACTAGCATACTTTGTGAAACAATTTTATTATTAACTCATTACTTATTTCATCTAACCTAATCTAAAGAGATTTCTATTTTTACATTTTAGTTACCTTTATGATAATAATAATAATAAATAAAGAATACACGTGAGAAACAAGAAATAAAATACTTATCAGGACCTTCTTCTTTTTTGCTGTTGACACTTAACCCTACTTGTTTTATACTAATGGTAGTAGTACACTAAATAATTTTTATTAAATTAAATAATGCACGAAAGAACATAAAATAATAACATGCAAAAAGCAGACAATGTCCCATAACTATTGGAATTTTCCTGCCTTACTAACTATGCCACAAGAATAGTTGCAAATTAATCCAAGCTAGTGATTCCTGTAGGAACAAAGTTTGTACTAGAAGAGAAATTAACTATTCTCTGTTCAGAACACAATGTAATATAATACATCATTTGATAGATGAAAACCTTAGCTTTCTATTGGTTGTAGATAATATAGAATTAAAGATAAAAGAGAACTACTAACAAATCCTGAAAGAGAGGATGTGATAGGTGGGTGTGGCAAGAGGGGTCTGATTTTCTATTTGATGGTCTGTAACCAAACAAGATTGAAGACTATAAAAATTATGCTTTGTCTGAGCTATGACGATATATAGTGAGTAATGTATGTTAAATTTTATAATTATTGGAGGGGTGGTGAATAAATTAGAGAAAAGGGGGAATGCCTAGAGAAAAAATGTCTTTTATCACGCTAGGGGAAATTCAAAATTTTTTAAAATATTGTCTTGTAAAATTAAGAACTTAAAACTTGTATACTATTAAAATATGGATTATTAGCTATGATTTTATGCTATACTAATTGGTATAACATAAAAAGTTACTTAATTAAATTTTAAAGATAACTTACAACCTCATGACATGCACAGTAAAGGATGCCAGTGGTGAGAGGGTTAAAAGGAAAAATAATTCATTTCATAGAAAAACAACTTAAAAATGGTATTAAAATTTAAGAATTAAACTTGCAAACTAATTTTAATACACACTCAGTACTGTTAGCGTTTCTGCTGTTTAGATATATGCACAGTTGTAGACTAACTAAAAGTTATTTTCATTTGTTTATTATTATCAAATTGTATTGGTATGTACCTTTGTAGTGGAACTTACAGAATTATGGTATAAGTCAATATATAATTATCTTTATGAACTGAATTTCTTTGGAATTGATACAGTTTGATGCATAAAGTCTGTTAGTGAATGATGTACTGTTATGTCACAGATGAAGAAGGATGTTTTGATGATGCAGAAGAAGATTCTGGAGCAGAATATGATGTGGCAGCAGCAGAGAGACATCGTAGTCAGAGTGATGCTTCACATGAAAACTCTCACATTAGTTAGTCGTCTGTTCTTCTTTTTTTTTTTTTGCAGAAATTTAATATAGCTTTATTCACTGAATAAATACCTCATTTTTCTTATCCATGTGGTGTATATTTTTAACTTTAGATATCATAATAATTACTTGAAAGATAGTAAGAACATACATACGTACAGTAACTGTTTGACACTTTAAATAAGTCATTGAGAAAATTTTAGTTTCAATATTAAAAGTAGAAAATATCTTTGTATCAAAGACATTCAATAAAAATTACTGTTCAATTGGAATTAGATTTTTGTGACAAAATTATTCAAACACTTTTATGCTATATATGATGTTGTAGGTCACTTCACCATAAGGCAAAGTTATTAAACTTAAAGATCTGTATTATGCTATTAAAATTCATAAATACTACTGTGAGTGCAAACATTCAGTTTCTACAGTCCTAAAGAAGTACATTTACATGTGTTTCTGGTAACTGTATTACCGGGTCTGGTTAAAAAGAAACTTTTAATGTATACTTACTTCGCCAAGAGCCCCCCAGTGGCACAGCAGTATGCTAGAAATGCTAGAAACCAGGTTTCGATACACGTGGCGGGCAGAGCACAGATAGCCCTTGTGTAGCTTTGTGCATAATTAAAAACAAAAAACAAACAAACTTCGCCAAGAATCTTCACAAATGAATTTGTCAGAATTGGAGCAATTTTGCCAGGAAGAATGGACAACAATTACACAATCCCATTGTGCAAAGTTGGTAGAGACCTATCCAAAAAGACTCACAGCAGTAATTGCTGCCGAAGGTACTTCCACCAAATATTAACTTGGAGGGCTGAATACCTATGCAATCAGCAAATTTTGATTTATATATTTTCTTTGCAAGTTTTGCTAACATTCAACCTCATTCACACATAACAATGTTAAGTTTGAGCACTAGAGTTCTGAATAAAAACAAGCTAGTTTAAAGAATTGTTTACATGATTTGTATTTCATCAAATGTGACATTATTGGTAGGGGTGAATACTTTTGCAAGGCACTGTAGGTAGATTTTATAACTTTCTATAAAGGTTCATCATATTGAATATCATTTAATTATTGGTATAGTAATATAGATGACTATAATTTGGAGAAATTTATCTCATTTCTTTCTATAATGCTTATAGCACTGAAAAAATTTCTATGTATGAGCTGTTTTAAACGTCGTTAATAATAAATGGCACATCAAACATTTAATATTGGTAGAAATGTATCTTGTTTTTCTCATGTTTTTTTATCTTCATAGTATAAATGATTTTGTCACCTTTTATTTTACATTGAGCATTACGAATTAGAAGAAAAAATTAATATAACTGGGCAACTTGAAAAAATTTAGATTTTAAGTGTATCTACTTTGATGTATTTTTGAATTATTTTTCTTTTTTTGAGTTGTTTCACAAATAAATTTTGAAAGGTAAGTGAAACTTCATGTATTGTCATAACACTTTTCTCCAGAAAGTCATTATTTTTGTAGTACGTGCACATACTAACAAAAACCAGGTCTTTCTGGAGGAAAAAAAAAGTTTTATGACAATATATGAAGTTCCATATGATTTGCATTTGTGTGTACAGAACATATTTCCTTTTTGGTGCTTTTCCATTTTATGACTTGTGAATACTAATAATTGTTTACCAATTTACCAAAAATACTTTTTTCCAATACCTAAAATTAAAGAAGAAAGTAGCTACAGTATAAAATTGTGTGTTCCCTGGTGGTTCAACAGTAAGCTTCGAGGATTATAATGCTAAAATTCTGGGACACGGTGTGGATAATCCAAATTAATGTGTTAAATGTAGAAACCCAAAATATAAAAGTAAGCAGATGTGTAACTGATACAAAATAGACACAACACATAAATACAAAGGTAAGTACACAAACAAAAGTAAACACTGTCTTGTTGTTTAAAAAGTGAGAAATTTTGAAACTATAACAGGTTTTGTTAATTAAACATCAAAAAATTAAAAAGACATGAAATAGATGTGGTAAATAAATACTACAGTGGATATAAACTAAACATTGTTGTGTAGTTTTTTTTGCATTTTTTATGACTTGTCAATTTTGAATGAATTTCATTTCTAATCCTACATTGTTTTATTGACATGCTAATTGGTATTCCAAGTATTTGTTCATTTTACATTAGAACAGAAAGCAACATGTACTAAACTTTCAGTGGTTGTCATCGTCATTTCCTTCCTCTCATGGGGTTTCAAAATATAAACTTTCAAGTTGAAAAGGTATTAATAAATAAAGCACCTCGTGAAGCATAACCGAGCTTCGAAACACACAGAATACTAGAAAACATTTTTATATTGGTGTATTTTGGACTGGGGCATAGCTGCATCAGTGTTTGGTAAAACTGCTTAAGTTGTTTGGTGACTTAACATTTTTGTGTAATGCAAATGTAAAAAAAAAAATCCTAAAATATAAATTTGTCTCTTTTCATGTGAAGGTGATTAATCTATGAGTATTCTAGTACTTTCCTCAACCACTACTTCCAGTATTTATGTTAACATATATTATATATAATAATACATTAATTATATAATATAATAATATATTTATATAGAAAAAAAGGGAGGCAATTTTAAGTCTATAAAAAAAATTTAATAGGAAGGACTTCTTTAGAATATTATATATAATATATTTCCTCCCTTTTTTTCTATATAAATATATTATTATATTATATAATTATATTCAATTTTAAGTCCATAAAAAAAATTTAATAGGAAGGACTTCTTTAGAGATAATCGCTCTGACATTGTGTTAACAAGTGTGAACCTGGCTTAACTCATGTAAGGCTGACTTTATACTCCTTTGTGTAATAATGTGTTCACCTCATTTCTGTGAAAGTCTTCCAACCTCTTGCAGTCTAAAATATTTTTGTTAAACCAAAAGTTTGTTTAATAATATTGTGCCACAAAACCCAAACTTAACAATCCACCACATTCATTATACAGTTGACAGAGCTGAAATGTAGACACAAAAAAAAACTTTTTCAACATTTCTAACAAATGCTTTTCTCACAGCATTTTCTAAAAGTTCTGAAATAACTTTACCTTTACTCATTATTGAATACTTTATTAATAAAATACAGTCCTTAATACCTTACAATTGGATATATCGATAAATATGCCACAAAGTGTTTGTTAAACTGAACTTTTCCCAAGTACGAGTGTTACCAGATGGACCTTGTGAAAGTAACATTATATTATGAAACATCAGACAGGTAGTGTAAATTAAATGTTCATTTGTCTCTAATTATTGTCCCTCAATGGTAAGTTCATGGTCTTAAATGCTAAAATCTGGGGTTAGTTTCTCAATAGTGAACAAAGTGCAGATAGCCCATTCTGTAGCCTTGTACCAAAACAACTACTTATTTGGTAAAATTAACTGGAACTTGATGTTATATTAGCAAGACATACTGCTAGTGGCTGTTGTTTTTATTTTTTTGTACTTGGTGGAACGTTATTCTTAATCTGATCCTTTCTGCGCATATGTGGTCACACTCTGAAACCAAGTGATATGAATAAATTCTCTAATCCCTTAAAAAAAATATTTAATTTGTTGATTTTTGTATGAAGAGGTAAAAGTACATGTTTAGTGCATATTAAATTAGTTTTTATACTTATGGTATAAGCATTTAAAGTTTTAAAAAATAGTTTAGAAATATAAAAAGTGAATGAAATTAGTATTACAAAAGAACGATTAGTTAAAATTTAATCTTCTAAGCATTAATTCTAGATTTAGAACGAAGTATTTAGAGATACACATAGATTGGACTAATGGACCAAAATACTAAATATTTCAGAACATGGGATTAATCATTTTAATCGTAAAAGTATTTAATTTATAATTAGAATTTAAACTGATATAATATGATTGAACTTTCATCATACAACTGTGATGTTACATCTTATTTACACGTGTTAAATATTTCAAAATACACTTATTACATCATTAACAATGTCTGAAATAAGGTGTAGTTACGTATAACTAATAAAAAGCACCTTAGCCGTGAAAAACAAGTGTGGCCAAAAAAAAAGGATTTAGCATGCGACTTTAAGGAACGAAATCAAAATTGGTAACTACACTTCTAACATTGATAAGAATTTTACAGCAAATATTCATTCATTAGTTAGCCAGGCCATGCTTTTTTGTTAAACTTGGGGCATGAGTAGGTAAAACAAAAAATATGCAGCCTAGCTAACTAATGAATGAATATTTGCTGTAAAATTCTTATCAATGCTATCAGTGTAGCTACCAGTTTGGCCACCATTGTTGATTTCATTCCTTTAAGTTCCACCTTTTTTTCACACTTATAATGATTTCTTGTCTAAACACCCCAACAAACCACAGCAAATAAGAAAGTGAAACTCGATAGTAACAAACATTAGCTTTAAGGTAGCAACCCTACTATTCAGAACAGACCTATACTTTTTTCTTTAAGATGTATGGTGGTAGTTTTCCTCTCTAAAACGGTGTTAGTCACTTCCTTTATAGTAAGGCCATGGAATCTAGATTTTTAGTTTCTTGTTATCACCCACATGCACTTGGCACAGCTGTATCAAGATTCATTATTTATTGCTAATTGCTTAAGCTAATATCACATGACACTAAGCACTCTTTACTTAGGAGAATTTCATAAAATTTAGCAATGAATAATAACTGTTAATTTAGTTTGCTTGGCCTAACCACTACTGCACATTCTTTCACCCTGTACTTTTGCTGCTGTAAATCAGTCATCTTTTATCCAAAAAACAAAAAATCGTCCACTTTTACTCTTGGGTGAAGCTGTAGTAAAAATTTCAGACCAATAGCTCATATGATTTTTTGCAGAGGTATGCACAAAAATTTTGGTCAAATAACTTTGTACATGTGATTATATTCAAACCAAACTTGATACCTAATTGTAACTTGTAAAGATTTATATGTGTACCAAATTTGAAAAAAATTCATAAAAGTACGTTTTATATCAAATTTTCTGTACTTTTATTGCAATAAAAAAAGGAAAAAATTCCATCAAAATTGGAGATTTTATATCCAGTGTATTTTTTAATGGATTGCTTTGAAATTTGGCAGGTGAAGTAAGGTTCCAATAGAGTATACTCACTGAAAATAAGTGATAATTTGGATTACCACAGTCTGAAGTACAGAAGGTGCAAAATTGCTTAGCTACCCCTCCCATTAATAACCCTGTGTCCTGCAGGTTGTTTTGGCTGCATGACACACTTCTGTGTGTCTTAATATATACATACACAAATCATTGGCATAGACAATCCTTTAAAGTTATGTGAGGGTGAATTAATTCCAAATATATCATAAGAGGGGAGGCTCATAGTAGAGTATAATCACCTTCAAAAACTGTATATCAATTCAACTGAAATGCAATGATGTATCAGAAAATGTTGTACCAAAACAGTGTGTGCAAAAGTACATAGTATGTAGTTAAAGAACTGGGGTGAGTTAGGACTTTATATCAAAATAAAGAAAAAAAAATGCTACAAAAAAACTACAGAAGACAAGTGAACTCTCTGAAGCTATTCTGAACAACATTAGTCAGTTCACCACCAACCAAGACTCCTAACAAGATACAAAGCAGCCATCACTCATTTGACTCCAAGAAATATCAACTGCCAAAAACAGACATATAACAAAAAATATTTCTACTGAACTACATAAATAAATAAAACCAAACTACTAAAAAAATCATCACAAAAAAGCCCCACTATAAAATAACTCCAAACGACAATCTAATCATAAAAGAATCTGATAAAGGAAAAGATTTCATACTCCTAACTAGAAACAGCTGCAAGTGTAAAATGGAAGAGTATCTTCAAGAAATGTCTACATATTGAACTTTAAAAAAGATCCAAAGAAGAAACCAAAAGATATTCAAACATCTAAAAGAAGAAAGTATTTTACCAGGAAGAAATACTAATATAATTAAAATCTTCCATGAGATATATGGAGTTCCTAAAAAAACAAACAGGATTTACCTTCAAGACCCATAGTATTAGCATGTGCCTTTGCAACAGAAACAATATCCGGGTTACTGGATAAACTGCTGAAACCACAAGTATGTTCTACTATATTTAAGCAACACAAAAGACCTCTTAGAAAAATACTCAACATAAATAGTATTGGATAATTCGACTCTATTTACTTTAGACATAGTCACCTTGCACCCATCTGTACATATGGCAAAAGGCATAGACAGCATTAACTTAATGCACACATATTTCCTGAAAAAATCACTTTAGAAACCATCTGCACAAATGCTTAACATTGTCCTGTCCAAATGTACTTGAAATTTGGATACACTTTGTATAAACAAAAGAAATGAGTAATAGAATAGCAGTCACATTTGCAGTAATATTATGCATACAGTACAGACAAAGCCCTTGACATATCTAAAACAACAACAGAACTAAAATTAATAAATTTAAGCTTCTCCATGCCTAATGACATTAAACAAGTACAAAAAAGACTAAGACAGTGTTACAAAATGGATACCATCAAAATATATTCATATTTTCAAATCTCTCTCTCATATACACACACACACAAAAGGACCTTAAAACAAAACACAAAAATGTATCAATAATGAACATTTCTTTTATTAACAACACAATTACAACCAAAATTCATAATGCCATTAATACAGTGTAAAATCCTAACCAACAGTCAAGATAACAGGTACAACACTGAAAGAACAAATAGTGTACTCATACAAAATGTGACCAAAAACAATGCTATGACTGAGGAAATGGAGCAAAACAAAAATGGCACACTAAAACTGTAGTCTATCAAATCATATACAATATATTTGAGGACACATGTGTAAGATAAACAGAAATGCATCTCTGAAAATATAATTAGTTGAATAAACCTGACAACACATAGCTACCCCAACAGAACACAGATATCCAAATCCCATTTACAGTTACTATCTTATAAAAAATGAAACCAAAGATTCTGAAGAGAAAATACATGGAAGCTATACTAATTAATGAAAAAATAAATAAACAGACACAAATGTGGTATATTTAACTAAATTCCCATTTGAATACATACCCAATACCTTTAATGTTTTACTCTGTAGATTAACCTTGTGTATCATACAGTCTTACAATTTCACTGTTATATTTCTGTACCTCAACCAATATATTATAGTTATTTCAAACTACAAACACCAGTTCACAATGCTTTACAACATTTCATGAGTTAGCTTCATGAACACACACTAGTAACCTTAAAACTAAACATTTGTTGTCTCTGTAACTGAAGTTTTATTATATTAACATAGTAAGTGTAGTTGATTTCCTTTTAACTTAAAATTTAGCTTCTTAACCATTATCAGTATTTTTTTCTTATGGAGAACACATAATAAAACAATTTGTATTTAGTATTCAATTTCACATAAGTAATTTATATCAAATGTGTATATAGTAATTATTATAACTGTACTATAACCTTACAACAACTGTTAAACAGCAATATTCTGTACAATGTGACAGTCTTGAGAAACTGTGATTTAATAAATGTAGTAAGTCTCATTTAGTGGGGATTTAAGCAGTTTGTTTAGTTTTGATGTATAGTTCTTTACTCATAACCAATGACCTAAATTATTTTTGGTGTTTGGTTGACATACCATCACAATTAATTATCCATTATTTATTTAGCAGGCTAATTGGTTATTTATTTAGATGTTTATTTATTTTCTTCTCCAAAATGTGAATTTTACTGGCCTAAGCCATTTTTTTTTATTCACCTTTACCTTGAAGCCAAATAACTTAACTGCTTAAACACCACTACTATGTGTACTACTTTATTAATTTTCTTTGCTCTTCTAAGCAGCAATGATGAGTTGTGAAACTAGTCTACTGTAGTGGAGTCTATGATGTCAAAATTATAAAGTTTGGTATCTATAAAAAGTCCATTAAAAAATAAACAAGTCTACAAATCTGATAAACAAGCCATTTATTCAGAGATAAATAATAACTACAGCAATGCTTAGTAAAAAACCAATACAGAAAAAAACTTTAAAGAGTATGTTTTACCTGAGAACCTCAGGAGAGGACAAACAGATAATTTATACACTGTAAGATTTAAAAAATATATCGCAGACCAATATCACAAGTTTACTAGTTTTCACACTTAATAAATATTACTAGTATTGCTTAACCTTTTGGTTAAGAAGCCACAATGTTCTTTATCATTTTGCAAAGTTGTAGATAATTATTCAGTATAGTTATTTGCTTTCTTTTTTACTAAGAATCACTTGAGAAGTTTCTGTTGGTTAGAGTACATTAGTTTCTAAACTGACAGTCTAAACACTTAAGTAGCAAATCTAGTCTTGGAAAGGGAAGCGACATACCATTAATGACCAGACTTGGTAGCTTTGAGAAAATCTGTACAATTACAAGGACTCCTGCACATGATTAGTCAGGCACATCATCTTCACTATAACATATTTCTTAACACATAGTCTTTGCTCAGTGGAAACTAAAAACTTGATATAAAATTATCTTCAAACTAATTAATTTGGAGTGTGTACAATAACACTCGAATTGTGACTTCTCACTTAGAATAAAATATTTCACATTCTTTATTATGCATTAAGGAATATTTCTTGTAATCAAGACATTGTGTCTAGCTATTTATTTGGAAGAGTTAGATTAAATAAAAAGTTAAAGCTAAGCTTATTCTTCGGTGTTTGATCACTCAATCTACTTTTACATTAACTGAATTTTTTTTATTTGAACTATTGATATTCAGAAGCATGTGTTTTTAATATTTGTGTCACGGTATATTCCAATTTCTTCAGAAGACTGTAGCAACAACTAGCATAAATAAAAATATACCACAAAGAATAAAAATATTAATATCATAACAATACATGCAATAAAATTACTACAAAATTACCAAGACATTAATAAGAATTATATTGACCTTGTTGGTGAATCTTCAAAGTATTTATACTTCAAGAGCAAGTCCATGCATTCGACCAGAAATAATTATCAAGCTGTTTTATTAAGATAAAGTTCCTAAAAATACTAAATTATTTTTGCATCTTGTACTTTGTGTGACAACTGTCTTTACATTAGAAACAATGTGAATAGAGCTGAGAAAATAACAAGCAAATATTTTTTTTTTTTTGACATTCAAATCTTTAAGAACCAATATTTCAGACAAACTTAGTATTTATTTAAAAACATAGATTTGGAAAATCTGCAATAATCTTCACATTAATAAAACAGCTTTATTATGTATTTATCACATTGAATTAATCATTTAAAAAAAAAGTTCTACAAAACTTAATTGCTTACAATTTTCTTTCTCAGCTGCCAAAAATTTGGAGTGACTAGAATCAGTAAATCTGTTATATAGATAACTTTAATTGTAATCATTTTGATATAAGGCATAATGAATAACAATTTCTAATTTATTCTATAAAACCAAAAAAAACAAAAAACATCTTGATATGTTAATAATTTCAACTACTTCATTCTGGTACCTGTCACAACCACGCTTTAGAGGACAATTAATTGAGTAGGAAGATTTTTGAAGTAATTATAAAGAAACATTTCTCCATACTATTAGCATACTAGGCAGCATATTTTGCTTTCTTTTAAGTTATGACACATGAAGACAAAGTTGTGTTGTGTACATAAGTTCATTTTTAGGGAAAAAAGACATCAATGGTTATCCAATACAAACAGCAATATTTACAAAGCTTTTGGCAAAGACAATCAACCATTTAAACAATTCCTCATGCATTCACACACACACACACGTGAACACTGCTTTATGTTTCTGGTGCTTCATGGGCATTTACAAAAGAACTTAAACAAAATGAGTATGCTTGAAACAAGCTAGTCACAAAATTATTTATTACAGGCTAAAAAAATTTGCCTAAGGTATATGATGGCAAAATAGTATTCCATTTGGACATTGTTTACTGACTTTGATGAAACTAATGTTCATGTTGAATAAAGCTCCTCTGTTGCTGTTACTACCAATGTGCCATACCTGGCTTGTTCAGGGTCATGAAATAAATCTGGCATGATGATCCTCCTTTGGCTGAAGAAAAGAAGACCTAGCAAATAAACAAAATTAAGAAATCTTAATTAAAAGGTAGCTATATGAAAGTTTAAAAGAGGAGCTGTACTTAAAATGCATACACAAAAGTACTAAGAAAAGGAATTCAGAACTACACTGTAACTAACTTAACATTTTTCTTCATAAAAACTAACGTACAAGCTATAAGTGTACACACAGAGTTGATATTTACAATTAAAACATCTTCAGATCAGTAATTGTGATCACCCTAGTAGCAAAGACATGTTTAAGGTGCTTACTGTATGATACATGTAATATCAATCCAAAAATAAAACAAATTCAGTATCTCATGGATAGTCAATGGTTATTTAATGACTGAAAAATAAAATTGTCTATTAGAATAAAGTGTCTAAAACTAAAATATTAAATGTAGTTTATTTTGTTCATTTATCTTTTTTAAATATCCAATTAAACAAGACAAACAAACTCTTTATTACATCTGTTTATCACAAGAAAACATTTACTGGCATATACACTCATTTCAACAGTTTCATATCACACTTTTTCAAATGTTTGTTTGAAGTTAAGCACAAAGCTACAAAATGGGCTATCTGTGCTCTGCCCACCAAGGGTACTGAAACCAAGTTTCTAGCATTGTAAGTCCGCAGACATACCACTGTGCTACTGGGGGGGCTTTTCAATTGTAATCTTGTTCTGACTACTTTTTGTCTGCACTCTAAAATTTCCAAAATTCACAACATACTACAAAATAATGGCTATTCCCTTAACTTTTTATACTCTATCACTTGAACATTTTCAACAAATAAAATATAACCTACAAAGAAAGCAACCGCTGTCTCAAAATATCCACTAATTCTTATCACTCCTTTCATGTGCAAATAAAGTTTTAAACTCAAATACAACAGAAAAATCAAGACATTGAGCTATGGTTAGTATTTAAGTCAACATTTAGAATTAAATATTGTTTAAAACCAAAGATGCTCTACTCATTCCTTTGCAATCATGAGTCAATTTATATATACACTTGTGGTAGCTGTTAAGCTACATGTATTGGTAAAATTACATGCCATTTACAAATATACAAAATAACATAACGTTTTGGGACCTATTGGTCTATCTCGGCTGTCCCATCTTGTGAACTAAACTAAAACTATTATAAAAAAATCTTAAAGCCAGCCCTTATCAAGCTTTCTCTTAAACTCACTTACATTCATTACCTCCACAACATCCAAAGGCAACCCATTCCAAAAGCCAACCACTCTGTTAGAAAAATAAAACTTATCTTAGCTGAAGATGACTCCCACCCTGCCAAAATTTATATTTGTGTCCCCTAGTCCTACTATTCTCACTGTTAAGTATGAATAAAGGTGATAAATTAACACTATCAATTGCATTTATAACCTTAAACATCTCAATCATATCCCCTCTAACTCTTCTTTTTTCAAGAGAAAACAATTTGAGATTTCAACCTCTCCTCATATGACAACCCCTCCATCCCAGGTATCATTCTAGTAACCCTTTCCAACAATTCAATATCCTTCCTAAGGTAAGGAGCAAAAGACTGAACACAATATTCCAAATGTGATCTACCCAGTGACTTATCCAATAAAATTATAACCTCTTTAGACTTGTATTCAATATATCTGTAGACACAACCTAAAATACTATTTGCCCTACCACTAGCAACAGCATACTGCTTGGATGGCTTGAGAGACTGATCAACCATTACACCAAGATCCCTTTCTTTCATGACATTGTTAAGGTTATTCCCATCCAAATTATACTTATAATCCAAAGTATGATAACCCACATGCATTATCTTGCATTTTTTATAATTAAAACCCACCTGGCATTTATTTACCCAACTCATTAAATGATCTAAATCCTTTTGTAAATCAGCAGCATCCTCTTCACATCTAGAAACACCCAAAACCTTATACAACATGCACATAAGCACAAGGGAGTTTCAGCTGGAAGGGAGTCAAAGCTAACTAATCCAACTGAGTCTTTTATCCATTACATAGTTGGAATAATAACAACCCCATACTTCTTGAAAACTAAAATTCTTGACTCCACAACAAGATTACGAACTCATCCCTGTTATCATTAACATATTACCAGTGTTTTATTATTATTACCATTTCTGATGCAGATATTTATACTTCTATTTAACCATTTCCAGATGGGTCATGGGTGAAAGGTCATCTCTTTTGTTGACTCACATTCAAAATTTTATTGAATTACTGTTTTAGGAATTTATGTCATTAAATCTGGTATGAAACTGTAGATTAGAATTCAAATTTTAGTATTATACATTACTCAATTTCTTAAACTAAAAGTAAAAATTAGAAAAACAGAAACACCAAATTTTGTGTGTCACATGGTATGTTGAATGCAACACTGGTCCAAATTAGATGTTTGTGATGTCAAAATACTAAATCTATAGTTTTGTGTGGATTGGGAAATCAAATTACTGATATTGACAAGCTAAAATATAAAATAAGAACCTCTTATCTTTTCTATTTGCTAAGATATTGCTCATGTAATGAATCAAACACAGTGGCACCCTGCCCACATCTTTCCATTTTTGGAAACTCTCCCTTATATACACTTACTTCTATATATGACATAAATAACCAATCGAAAGCTCAGAATGTCCCCCTAGTGGTTTTCTTAGCCATTTTAAATTCTTAGAAAGCCATCTCTTTCTTTTGAACTAAGATTTCAAGGAGGTAGGTTGTGTCTTTCGTCTGCTTGAAATTTCATATTTTTTTAGACTGAAATACAGCTTAGTTACTAAGATTGATAAATTATAGTGGAATTCTATGGTATTGATAAAGTAAGTTATGATTTTTTGGTTATTCAACTGTATATATATATATATATATATAAAACCTAAAAAAAGTAATTTAATTTTTATTCCTCTATGTG